CCTGCAAAAGGAGTACAATGCAGATGGGTTGTTAAATGTCCTGAGGATAGAAAAAGTGCACTGCACGCTTAATGAAAGCACACAGACATTAAATATCTTGGTGACAGAAAATTTACACACATTAGTGGAAACCATTCTGGATGTGTTAAAGCCATAGCATGTACAGGTTCATAGCTTCACTTATAGAGAGGTTAGTTATTTCCCAGCAGGAACAGAAAAAAAAAAAAAAAAAAAAAATCTATGCACTCCCTGGAACTCAAACTCCATGCTTTTCGACTGCTAACTGGAAGTGCTTTGCATTGCATCACAAAGGCATGCAGTTAAAGAGAGAGAAAAACCTTAAACTTTCATTACTATTATTCCTTTTCTCCTTCTAGGAACTGCATAGTTGTGCATTCCAAACTGTTCCTGTTCCGTGCAAGGGTATTGGTATTATACAGAAGGGATGTCCAATCCAAGGCTGAATTGACAAAAATCATGGATGACCTTAATTACCAAAAACTGCAATATCAATTAAGATGGGCAAATGGAAGTACCGAACTTTACTTGAAAAAAAAAAAAAAAAAAACTAAGCGAAAGAAAGAGAGAAACAACTATCGCGCTGATTATGGCAAATGTAAAAAAAAAAAAAAAAAAGACAGAAACAACTATCGTGCTGATTATGGCAAATACAAAATTATTCGACTGTTTAACAAATTATTATTGTTATAATTATTTACGCATCAATCATAAATGTTTATCTGTCATATTATTTATTATTAATAATAATAACTATAATAATTGCATTCCGCATTTTAGATTTCACCTAAAAAATTTATATATGGAATGTAGCTCATTGGAATAAGCGCATTTCCAAAGTGGCCCGCAAAGTCTTACAGATTGGACAAGCTTGATACACAGCATATTTTAAGATACAGCATTATCCCTCACTTATAAATGATACATGTCCTTCTTAATGTAAATTCATGCAAAAAGGGAATGATTTCTCCCACCACTGCCTTCTGCCAAGTAACTATTGTCATAACAGTATGAGGGGAAAAACATCTCATTAACTCTTTTGAGCATAAATGGCCTCCAAGATCTCCTAAGCCTTGAAAACCTTCAGAATTTTGGTCATGGGGCTACTTAAAATCTCATACGTACCGAGACTAACAAACACCACTACTAGGACATGCTGAAATGTAACATTTGCCATTACCATTCAGGAATTACAACTGAAATGTTCCTAAATGCTTTACAGAGAGTCATCTAACAGCAACACTTAAGAATAATGGCCATCACAAAAAATAATCATTTATTTATTCTGAATTATACTACACCATTTTAAAAATTGCTCATTGGGCTGAGAGCTCCTATAGGTGATAAATATATTATCAAAATAATTTTCCACTATTAAAATGACACGCTTTTTGGTAAATCTACAGTAATAAATAATTATATTACGTTGAATAAGTACATCGTTTAAATACTAAATAAAGCACACAAGTAATTACTCTACATACTAACAGCGTGACTACCAGTTATTATAATAGCATACCTGCCAACCTCTAAAGATAAAAATTCAGAAGATTTCTCCAAAATTCAGTAGAACACGAAGAATTAATATCATGCTTTGATATTAAAAAAAATAACAATTTATACAAATAGAAAAAAGAAAATTGTACTTACATTAGTAAATCTCAATAAAGTAGTAACTAAAAAATTTATTAGGAAACATAAAACAAGAACTTAATGTTACACAAAAAAATTATTGCAATGAATTTAGAGTGCATTTTTTGGCTTTAGCCAAAAATTCTTTGGAAAATTTCCTGTCATAACAATTAGTTTCCTCATAACATTTAGCAATTAAAATGTTTTCTAGACTTTTTGGTGAAATTGAAGAACGAAACATAGTTTTGTTTTTCTTTACATCACTGAAGACTCTCTCGCATTCAGCATTACTGTGTGGAATTACGAGAATAGCACATAAAACTCTTGCTAGTTTATCATATTTTGGTGTTCCATCAGCTCTTTTTATTCTTTTTATGGTACCAACGAGGACATCAAGTCTATCTTCTCTAGAACTGGCAAAGTCTTCAAACTGTGCAGCAGACAATGGGTTCTGTAGTTCATCTAAAGCATCATTATGGCATTCATTTTCTTTAATTGTTAACAAAAATGGAAATTTATCAATAAAAAAACGAATCTTTTCAAAAGATGAATTTCCAATTTGTTTCAAATTTGCCACTTCAGCATTTAAAAGAACTTCATTTTGCAAAGGAAACTTCCTTACAATGTAATCACACGCTGAGGAAAAGTACTTTCTAACACACTGAAAAAATTCTTTTTTCTCATGATCTTTCAAAGAATTTACAAGTATTTCCAATTATAAGATCATTGTCATCCTTTTGATTTGCCAAACTATTATAGGCAACACGAATCAACACATTGTTTTTCACAACGGACGGTTTTACAAACTTAGTATAAAATTCTTTCAAAAGATCATTAAGAATTTGGATAAGCAGGGGAGATTTTGGCGCCCACAAAGAAAAGTGTGGGAAAAGAAACAAGTTCAGCGCATTGGATTAGCTGGTTAAGCGGCGAGTTGGGAGAAACTGCAGGTTACTGGATTCGAAGTAGTCGGTAGTTGGCGATAAAACACGATGCAATTGGCAAAAATCGCTGAATTGGTGAAAAATTCTAAAATTTCGACAAAAATCACTAAAAACACTTGAAAAAGGAAAAAAGTCGTAAAAAATGGATTACGATCATAAAATCGTAAAGACAAACGCATTTTCGTAAAAATTACGAAAAATTCGTAAAAGTTGGCAGGTATGTAATAGCCATGTACAGTTAAGGTATTTCAATTTAAGCCTTTATTCATTATTCTGGTAACTGATATGCCTGAAAACAAACTGGTAATAACATATCATTAGTTTTTTCTTTTCCTTTTTTTTCCCCCTTTACCATAGTAAAATATTACATTCAGTTAGGCAGCTTGCCTTTCATTCTAATCAGAAACGAATGAATTTTAAACAGAACCAAGCTCTCATCAAATATCCACCTACATTTTTATTTCTTTAAATTCATCTTTAAAATATAAGGGATGTTAATTTTGAGTAAATACGGCATATACACGCTTTTGGTAAGTGACAAGTAATTTAAAAGAACAGCTGAAAGGAAATATTAAAACATAAAATAGACAACATATCATGCAACTTACTAAATAAAACCTTTTTTTTTTTTTTTTAGCCAACAAAAAGGCTGTAATTTTGTTGTAATAACCATCAAAACAAGTCGCCCACCAGCAGTCTGTCGTCAATGGCACATTGATTCCAGAGGAGAGCGGAAATTGCTAAGCGCTGTTCGCCATGACCGAAAAGCTACAACAGCCGAAATCACCACCAGCTGCAACATTGGCGACCAGACAGTGTTTCTCAACACACTATACAGTAGGAGGCCAAAGTATGTCCCTATACCGACGGCATGTCATCGCAGGCTGCATCTGCAATGGGCCAAGAAACATCAGAATTGGGCATCAGAAGAATGAAAGAAAGTTGTATGGTCCGACGAATCACATTTTCGGATTCATCATATTGACGGGAGATTGATTTTCAAACGAAACGCTGGCTTCAGAACACACAGTTGGACGGAGACAAGCCGGTGGGATTCTTATGATGTGGGCAATGTTTTCATGGAGCATATTAGGATCCATAATCCCCATAGAACAATCCCTGATGGCTGTGCGTTACATGAACATCGTTGTACACCAGGTTTACTCATTCATGACAACAATATTTCCGGCGGAAGGATGGTGTTTACCAACACGATAATGCATTGTGTCATAAGGGTCAAATCGTCAGGGAGTGTTTCAAGGAACATTACAGTAACTTTCAATCCATGTCTTCGCTTCCAAATTGTCATGACATTAATCCAATAGGGCATTTGTGGTCCCACTAGGAAAACCAATTCGTGCTGCCACACTACCTCCTCACAATTTGCGAGAATTACAGGACCGGTTGGTGAGTACTTGGTACCAGTTACGTCAAACTACCTATCAGCAGCTTGTGGAGTCAACGCCACACCAAGTGCTGACAGTTTTGAGGGCCAAATAATGTATTCAGCTGCAATCAATTTAGTATAACACAAAATTGTAAGTCCCCCCTCCCTTGGCATGTCTATAGAAAAGGTAAAACAGAACTGAGGATTACAACTTTTAAGGAATGATAAAATATGGCAAAGTAAAAATTTTCATAATATAGTGGGTATGCAGAAGCACAGTAGCATGATGAACACGGACTGTGAAAAGTAGTTTTTAATCATGGATCAAATGATATACATACATCACAATAATGACAAAGTACACTTTGGAATATGGCCAACATAATGCATACTTCTCCAATAGCAATGCTAATTCTGGTAAAGTCTTTAAGAGAATAAATCTGCATCTCATACATAAGATCATATATGTACTGGAATTGCTGGTTGTTCCTCTGAACAAACAGTATTTATGGTTACACATCCATTATTAAAATGACTTTCAGTTTCCACATTCTTTCTATATATTGTGTTTTTGTGTTCACATTTCACATTCATCACAAGCCGTATTTCGAAAACTGCTACTTTTACGATGTTCTATTTGCCCTTAAAGCTTTAAACATCAATTATGTTACAGTTTGTGCATGCAAGATGACAGGCAGTTCATTTGACGCTCGCTGAAAAATTAAAGCATGATGTTTTCAGATATACCAGCTAAACATACGTACTATGCTAACGTACAAAAACATTTCAACAAAGACACAACCTTGCTTCTTTCTTATAGGCAATCTAAAGGAAAATTAAGCAATTTTGGGCATCAAAAATTATGGTTTTAGATTCAAACTTTTAAATACTTCAGCAAATTAAAAATCATAAAAAAATTTTAGAATTGAAATTGGGAGAAATAATAAACGAGAAAAATCAGAAATCTCTCCCCTAAATTGAGCAAGCAGGCAACTGAATATAAGATTTTATGATGTTACCTTTATCATCTATTCCATCAGTGATGAATGGAGGGTAATCTTTAGGATCAAGAGGAGCCATTCCACCAGATTTCACCTTAATTTGCAATTGATTCACTTTACCCAATTTTATACCATGGAGAATACAAAAAGCACCTTTACACACTGGAACTTCTTTTTTCCCATATTTAACCTGCAATTATATTCATATCTTTACAAAGATATACTTTTATTTTGATACATAGAAAAAAGTCTCTTCAAATACACATACAAACATAAAAATGAGACGCTTTATTAATCAAAAACTAAATTTATCATTCATTAACTATAAAATTTGAATAATGTGTTTACCATATGCAATGTATAACAGCATGCTGACCATTTACTTTGCTATTAGAGTGTGACTGTAGCTAGCCATAAATTAATAAAAATACCACAACGAAGATTTTCCAAGTAAGGTAGATATTTAGAAAAATTACAATATTCCGAATGAGGAAACAAACAAGGGGAGGGTAGGTAGATTACTCTTATTCACTCAAGAAAACATGCTGCTGATTCATTTGCAAATGTTAGAGCAGGAAAAGATGTGAAAAAAATGGGACACTGCACATGAAAAGCTATCAACTCCAAATGAACACACAAAAGGCTATGCATGTGTCCATTATTCCAATTAAGACTAATCAGAAATATAATTAATGGATTCCCAAAAAAAAAAAAAAAAATATGGTACCTTCTCAGCAGGAATTCTACTTACAACAGAGTAAACTAACCATGGAAAGACGTTCTGCTGCAACCTCTGCAAACAATAACACAGTTAATTTATTACAACAAAGATAATGACAGTTAACTGCCTAGAAGAGATGACTTCGTGGAAAACTTCCTAACAGCAACCAGCTCATATTAAACATACATCACATTTTGATGGAAAAACCCAAAACTGCATCATGGAAATACATCTGTTTAAATGACAGTTTAAATTCACATGAAGATGTTGTTACAAAGCTAAAGTCATATATGTAGCAAAAATAAGTAATGCAAAAAAGAAATACAAACTTCTTAGTAATATCACAAATGTAACTTGATGCAAAATACAGGCAAGTAAATGACAAAACTAGTGCAAAGTGCTCTATTATTTCTAGAAATATTAGCTGTGGTGAAATGCCACATCTTATTCCATATACTACATTGCTTATAATTTATTCAATTATTGAAGATAAATAAATTCTAGTAATCACTTTTCAAAACAATCAACTTTGAAAATTTTCAAAAAATAGCTATATGAAAACTTATATTCCACAGAATTGTGTTGTATGAAACATAATTCTTTATTTTATACTCCATATCATGCTAAAAATGCAGATGATATAAATCTAAGCATTACAAACACAATTTAAATGTTCATTCTATCAAATTATGATGAATGGTTGGGGGGAAGGTTTGCACTGTATGGCAGTTCCATTTCAAAAGGTTTAATAAATTTAATAATCCAAACTTATTTGAATTAATTTTAATACAGTACAAAGTCCGTAATCTGGACTCATCGGGACTTCCGGATTATAGATCATCAATTTAAATTTGATAAGATGATGCCATCTTATAATTAGAAATGATACAATTAAAAATATGAAACCGTAATTTATGAAATAAAGAGCAATTATGAACTAAAGGGTATAAAATTTTACAAAAAAAAAAAGCTTAATATTTGTTTATTAAACATTTCTTTCAACGTGCGCATGTATAACGCATACATTATGCACATTCTTTACATGCATGCGTAAAGCATACAAAAAAAAAAAAAGTTTGTGACTTTGAGGTCCAGATTATAGATCATTCCGGATAATGGATGTCCGCATTACGGACTTTGTACTGTACACAATTCAGGTTACTGAATACTATGATTCTGACATAAAATATATTAATGTTCAATTAGGTATTCTAAATTTTATGTTCTTCAGCTAATTTCAATTTTATAATTTCCTTGCACCAGGGTTGCCACTCAAACAGGAAATTGAAATTCCCCAACTTGTCAGGTTCTCCAGGTATGTTTTAAGAAAATTCCAGTCTACCCACGTAGTGCGCATTGGCTGTGTTGAGAGGCAGGTTATTTATGGTACCACTTGAAAACACAAAAATTTGCCAATTACATATCACTTATATATATAGGGTGTTTCAAAACTTATCTTTCAGATTTCGTGGGAAGGTAGGGTAGAAGTCAGGGAACTCAATTCACAAAGGAAAGTGTGTACGCAGGAGCACTGTGTGTATCCAACCAGTGTACAGCTCGCCTAACCATGCCGGCTGTCATCAGTATAGAAAGCTGAGTTACTAGTGATATGATGAATCGTTTTATGCATCAAGATCTAGTGGATATGCATCTCGCATATGGGGCAGCTCACGAAAGCGGCCGCCAAGCTAGACAAGTTTACGAAGACAGATACCCTAAGAGAAGATTACCTCAGCATCAAATGTTTGCACGTGTGCATTGCAATCTGTGCAAACGTAGTTCACTGCAGAGCAACATGCAGGATATGGGGAGAAGACGAATGATGCAGACTGTCAACATTGCAGAGCAAGTCCTACAGTCCATGAAAGATAATCTGAATACCAGCAAATGAACTATTGCTCAGAAGCTTGGAGTCTCTCACTCAGTAGTGTGGCAAATACGGCACGAGAAACATGTGCATCCTTACCATCTGCAAAGGATGCAATTACTGCATCCTAACAATTACCCAAAGCGTGTGGAATTTGCACTATGGTTCATGCAGAATAGTGCTATGGACTCCAATTTTTCAGCTTCTGTCCTTTTTACAGATGAAGCTTCATTCACTCGAGTAGGTGTCACGTTCACAGATGAAGTTTCATTCACACGTGTGAGCTTGCGACAACTCACATGGTACGAGAAGTCATGCTACGCAACATCATTTTGCCATAAATTTGTGGTCTGGAATCATTGGTGACTGTTTGCTAGGACCTTACGTGCTACCCCTGCCCCAGCTGGACGGCTAGAAATACTAAGTCTTTCTCGAGACAGTGTCATTGATTTTTCTAGCCACTGTACCTGCACATATCCCCCCCCCCTCGAGATATGTGGTATCAACATGATGCGGCTCCAGCCCATAGCACAACTGACGTGCATGATTACTTGAACTGAACATTCGAAGCTCAATGGATTAATAAAGGTGGAACAACCATTTAGTCACCTGATTTATCGCCCATGGATTTCTTTTTGTGGGGGGGGGACCATGGAAGAACATGTGTATGAGACTCCCATTGACAGTAAAATGGATCTTGCATGAATAAAGCCCACCGCAGGAACTGTCTGTGATATGCCAGGCGTTTATGAAAATGTTCGGAGGTCAATGCAACGCAACGGTGCTGTGAATCCTATGTTCATGTAAATGGTCACAATTTTGAGCACCTTTTGTGAACCTTTACTTTACCCTGTTAGAAGAAAGATAACATCGTAATCACTTAACTGTACTGTTTCTCTGTATTAACTTTACTTGTCCATTTGTTTTATGTAGATGACGTTCGCTAACATACTTTCCCATGTGAAATCGATTTTCTGAAATCTTTCCTACCTCCCAACAAAATTTAAACAATGAGTTTTGAAACACTCTGTATGTATGTACATATATATATATATATATATATATAATTTCCAAATCTATTATAACTATAGTAGGAGTTGTCTTCTCCACTGAAGATTGAGATTAGAATCTGCCCAATGTGGATTAAAAAATGTCTTTTTTTTTTTTTTTTAAGACATTTTCCAGCTAAACAAAATAAATCTATTTAATGATATTCTAAAATAAAGTCAGGTATTTTATATTTATTTAGAAGCATACATAAGCAAAAAAAATATGTTCATAAAATTTCGTGATGGTGTGTCATCATATTGCTAGAGTTAGTTTCAGGAGTATGCCAGAGAAAATTGCCTGAAATTTAAAAGTACTATTAACTAATAATAAATAAGTTTAGATGAAAGAAACCACATTAAATGACATGAATAACATTAAAATAAAATAAATTACTTAAAAAGATTAAAAATAATCAGTGATATTTTGCCAAATATTAAACAGTTAGCCTAGATAATTTATTACTATTTCTTTTATTTTACTGCAAAATGACAAATAAGGCATTTATTAAAAAGAAAAAAAAAATGGTTTAAGAGATTTTGTCATAAAATCCTAGTATACGGTACGGCCTCGGCACAATTTTGAAAACTGTCGCAAACACCAAAATGAACTTTTTACTGCTCATCATAATGTCGAAATCGCATGTGTACCATATTAACGCAAATGAATTAAACCAATTTTGTTTTATATAAGAATGGGAAGGTATTTTCTTTCATTCAACATGCAGTGCACATGCGAGTCTCTTGATTGTCAAAGTTACTGAAAACTTGCTTTGCCTTTCTAAAAGATCTAATTAGAGCTGCGAAAACTGGCTCTAAGTCGGCATCTCAAATGACACTCATGCGATACATAATTCGCCAAGAAAGTGATCGCTTCCAACGCTGGTGTAAAAATCACTTTTTCTGAGATCACCATTTGAAATTACCTGACTTTTCCAGATTTTGCTAAAATATTTAAACTCCCTGACTATTTTGGTCAATTTTCGAATTCCCCGACTTTTCCCAGTTTTTAAGGTAAGGAAGGAAATTTTTTATTTAGCAAAGTACTAAACATAGCAAAAATAAAATTAACAACTAAAGCTTATACTATTCCATATATAAACTTCATAACATACCATATATTGATTCAAAATAAAATTATATACATATATATAATTATATAAAATAAAAGTAGGTAGAAACATTGCAGCGATCTTGCTAAAAAGTTACCAGGAGCTGTAGCTCCAAGAAAATAGTTCAATGCCGTATTACTAAAATATGAACTAAGAAGAAATTTTTAAAAAAATATTAATCTGGAAAAACTTGAAAAAAAAACTGTAAACATGCGAAAAAAAACTTAAAATTAATGTTGGAAGACATGCGAATGCACGAAAAAATTAATCTGACCGTTGTGATATATGAAAAGTTTATACACATAAAAAATAGATTGACGGAAAAAAACATCAAAACATAAAATGCAAAAAATATAATGAAAACATAAATTGCAAAAATACATAAATACTAGCTTTACAATTTCTGTTTCAATTATATAATTATATACATATACAGGGTGATCA